TAAAAATCTTTAATAATGTCAAAATGTGCCTTTTAATAAGCTTGCTCAAATAATTTTGACTGGTGTTTCTTTCTCCTATAAAAACATACCTTGAGTCTGCGAATTTGCTGGTTAGCTCTTTGGGTTGGGGTGAGGTATTCATTTGGTTCGGGATGAGATGAACAGTGAACTATATACTTCATTCGTCTTCCAGAAAATGTCGTTCCATTCCGGCCAAATTGTGCGTGGTCACAGGCTGACTGAGTGCTACAATTACTTTCGTAACTACGAAGTGAATCCAGATCATCTTGGTCACTACTGAACTCCCTTGCATGATCAAGCAAGAAACGATTTAAATTTTGAGGCCGTAGAAGATCAATGTCTTCAGGAGAGGGAGTCGGAGTATGGGGAAATGAATCCCTTGAAGTTGGTCGACTAGAGAGAGATTGCTGTAGACCAAACCAAACAGACAAAAAAACATTAACTTTTTAAATGAACCACGCATCAGTATGCAGAGTGACAGATTCAGCAACAAACCTTCCTCTGTACCCATCCAACGCAGCAGTAAAGAGGTAGAATGAAATAAAGTTATATCACCGCACCATAGAGAAACTAGTGTAACTTAATGGTTTAGGGTGCCCCACAGTGAACGATCCCAGAGACGACGTCGTTCCTCGAGTTAAAGCGAGGGAACATTATTGGGGAATATTGTGGGCCCAAGCCCAAGCCAAACGTCCTTGACCGATGCCCGCCGAAGTTTGGGTGCCAATGGGCGCTCACAGGGCGGGCCGCCGGCCCAGCATAGCTGCTTGGCGGGTTGGCCTACCTCTCGCGTTACAGGCGCTACGAATAGCGGAGCCTAGCCTACCAAAGCCGTCACGGCTATGTACTTGCTCAGGAAGCTCTGGTATGTGTGGGCAACGACATCCGAAAAGGGCCGCTGTTTCCTCCAATTGTCCGGGTAGCGTCGCCTCGGGGAATGCTCATTGTGACGTGACAGCACATTTGATTAAGCAGTCGAACAGTGCGTTTACTCACCAGACTGCGATGGTGCCGTTGCTGGTGCAAATTGGAGTTGTTGTGGAGAGGCAGGCCGAGGCTGGGGCCGTCCCCAGACCCCCTCAGAGACTTCTTCCACGACTCGGCTGCCTCCGTGATGGAAGGGAATGTCGCCCCCGGCGACGCTCTCGTGCCTGGTCCATGTCCTCTGCCGGAGGGGAGCCTCAAATGGCCGAACCCCTGCTTCTCGCCCCGGAGGCGAAGGGAACCGCTGCGGCGGAGGGGAGTCGGGGAGGCCAGAGGCTGAGGAATCTTGGAAGCGTCAAGACTCAGCGCTGGACAAAGGGAAGGACCACAAATTAGTTTCTGGAGCAGCGGGATGCGTGAGCTTTCTCGTCGAGGTAGCCGTGGCCAAGGTGGTGGCGCTCACTTTGAGGGATCTTGCGAGTCACGCAGGGCGAGGAAGGGGCGCTGTGCTGTCCTGGCCCCGCCCCCGGGGGCACCGGGGCTGTGGCGGGCTCCATCATCTTCTCCGCCTGCATGACTTCCGGTGCATCGTGCGACACTCCCACAGCTGGGCTCAGTGACATCTTGGAATCCGTGGGTCCGTCCTGGTGACCGGTTTCCGATGTATGATCGCCATCGTTTTCTGGAACACAAAGTGAAAACCTTCAAGAGAGAGTCGGTCGCCACAGGCAGTGAGGAATACGGATACGCCCGCACATCCGAGCCGCCGCGCTTCGGCTTGCACTGCGGGGGAACGACCCTTTGACCCGTGCCCGATGACCCACGCGACCCGACGTCGGGAGCCTTTTCGTGAGGAACTTCATGACTAGATCGCTGATTGCCCTGAGCCACTAACACGACATTCGAGTTGACGCGACGAAGCCGGTCGTACACCTCCCGGCACCGATAAGGATTCTCGACTTAGGCCGGGCCACAAAGTACGGGGCTACTGACGGCCCGAGCGAGCACCTCGTGCCCACCCCCTACACTGCACCGCACACCTCGCACACCCACCGGCGAGCTCGTCCAGACCCATGGCGAACAAGAGCATCTCCAGCATGGGTTCGGCAGCACAGGCCGGCGCCGGGCCACCCACGCCACGCTAAGCGGCTGCGGCGCTACGAAAAGCCGTGAAGCATGGCGCCGTCACGGAAGCTTCCAGGTGAAAGCGGCAAAGAATGTTTGACAGAAAAAAACGCAGTAAAAAAAATAATCGCCGAATGCGTAACACTTCAGCGCGAAAATAAAAAGTGCTGTCGGTAATATATTCTGCTGTCGTTGTCGGCGAGTCAGACGGCGGCGTTCGTCAAGACTTCGGCCAGCTGTGGCTTCGCGGTCTGGTCGGGGGACGGCGCCGACCAGCGCAGCACTGCCGGCTAAGCGCTCACTACATGTCGCACTAAGCCCCGCCCCGCCCTTGTCCCAAAGCCTATCAATATATAAGTACTTGAGTGCGGTAGTGCTCCCCGCTCCGCCACGCCCCGCTGGCAGATCGAAATAGCGGCCGCGACTGCAGCTGCAGGTGCGATAGGTCTTCCCCGCCGAGCAGTGCGTGGCGTCCATTTTTCCAGCAGCGCCCACAGCTCGCGGTGCTTACTGTACTAGCGGCCAGCCGCCGGGCGCCCTGGGCCCTCGGCCACCTGCACAGCAGCGCGGCGCGTGTGTACCTACCATAGCGCCACGCCACGGCTGTAGCCACGGCTGTAGCCACGGCGCTCGGCACGCTACGTCCGCGCACGCAAGGGGCGGGCCGTGGTAGCCGTCGTGGTGCACCCGCTGCACGCTGCACGACATCAGGCGGCCGGCCCGGCTCTAAAGCATCGAGAGCTCCCGGGAAGTGACGCGACTGAGCCCCCAAGGCCCAAGGCAGACCGTATAATGCCCGCAGATCCTGCGTTTGGCATCGGTAGCGAACGCCGCGCGGGTAGGCAACCCAACGTGCAGGTGCCACTCAAGTAGTCGCGAGCCCGGGGATTTTTTTTTT